TCCACGCCAGCATTTGTTATTCGGAGACTTTTTGATAGGTATTCTCATGGGGTTAAGTGATATCTCATTGTAGTTTTGATTTGCATTTCCCTGCATGATTAGAGATGTATGAGCATTTTTTCATATGTTTGTTGGCCATCTTCTGTCTTCTTTAGAAAGTTCTGTTCAAGTCCTTGCCCACTTTTTAATAGGGTTATTTGATTTTTTCTTGCTGATTTTCGTGAGTTCTAAGTATATTCTAGTTATTAGCCCTTTATCGGATATGTAGGATGCAAAAATTTTCTCCCATTCTGTAGGTTGTCTGTTTACTTTCATGACTATTTCTTTGGCTGTGCAGAAGCTTTGTAGTTTGATCATGTCCCATTTATTTATTTTTGTTGCTGCTGTGATTGCCTTTGGGGACTTCTTCATAAACTCTTTGCCTAGGCCGAAATGAAGTGTTTTACTTATCAAATATTTAAATGTTGTTTAACATTTTGCAAATATTCTTGAAGTAAAGGCCAATGAAAGCAACTAATTGCTATAATTACCCTTTTCTTTCTCACACAGTATTGGCTGGATCCTGCAAAAACCCTCGCTGAACACAAAGAACTGATCAACAGTATGTATTTCATTTTAACTTTAAGGGGTAGCTTGAAAATGATTACAAAGTCCATGATTAGTTGGGTGCAGAAATGGGCTGTGGTACTGGAGAGGTGAGTACTAGTACTCAAGTATAAGAGTGTGGGAATGAGTGTTGTGTGCATTGCCAGGCTCTCTCCAAACTTTGATTAAATTTCAGTTTAAGCAGATTCTGAGAAGATCTTAGTATTGAATTTGTCTTAGGGGTCCTCTTTCCCTTGGTTTTGTCTATGATTTTTCTGTGTGCCTATCTTTAATATTTGACCTTAAAATAGATAAGATAGAGAGGCATTGATTTTGGGGGAAAATGACATCTAAGCTTTTAAAGAGTTTGAGTTTCCTGGGTTATGGAGTGGTTTTGTCATTCAGACTACTCAGTTTGCTGAGTTTGGTAATTGGGAGGTGATTTTGTTACCTGAAAAATTACTATCTTCAGAGAGAGATAATCCATTTTCAGAGGATAGCCTTTGATTTTGTCAAAATGAATATTACTAGGAGAATCAGTATAGTTAAGTACATATTCCTTAATCCTAATTTCCATAACCCAAGTTTTTATTTATAAATTCACACATAGGCTCCTTAAGTGTGCTTCTGTTCTTAAGTGTGCTTCAAAAAATTGCATTTTTTGGCAGTAAAATATATATAACATAAAATTTACAATTTTAACCACTTTTATGTGCAATTCAGTGGCATTAAGGACATTCACATTGGTGTGCAACCATCACCATGACCTATCTCTGAGACTTTTTCATCATTGTAAACTGAAACTGTACCTGTTAAACCATTTTGCTTAACTGTGTGAATTATTGCTAATTAAAACCTAGTAGGGGCCGGGCACGGTGGCTCAGGTCTGTAATCCTAGCACTCTGGGAGGCTGAAGCGGGCGGATCGCTGAAGCTCAGGAGTTCGAAACCAGCCTGAGCAAAAGTGAGACCCTGTCTCTACTAAAAATATAAAAAAATTAATTGGCCAACTAAAAGTATATAGAAAATGCCGGGCATGGTGGCTCACGCCTGTAATCCTAGCACTCTGGGAGGCCGAGGCGGGCGGATTGCTCGAAGTCAGGAGTTCGAAACCAGCCTGAGCAAGAGCTAGACCCCGTCTCTACTATAAATAGAAAGAAACTAATTGGATATCTGTTAATTTACATGGTATAAAATCGTTTATTTAAATATCTCTCTATGATTCAATCACTTTTTCATCCTGAAAAATATAATACTGTTAAAAATTGTGCACTAAGAGTAAAACACTGATATTACAATTAAAGAAATATTAGTAACTGAAGAATATTTATATTTCATCTCATGGAACAGTTTGATAGTAAAGACAAATGGCTATCAAATCTCCAGTACATTAGTCAGGAGTATCTATATAAATGACAAAACATTTGCTAGTCACCAGAGAATTCTTACAGGTCAATCTTGATTTATTTATCCTTAGCTAATGGGAAACTCTTTATCATTGAAGTCCTCAAAATTAGTCTCCACAAAAGGTAGATTAGAGGGTTCCTCATTTCTGCATCCTATATTTTTTCCTAAACTGTAGCAATATTAGCCTCACTTCGCAAAAGGATTTCTTACTTATTGAGTCACTGGAATGACATGGATTCAAAATAATAGTTTAGTAATTTGCATCAGCAGCACCTGATTTTTGTAGTCAGTGTTACAATAGGAAGCCAGAAAATACCTGGCTAGATGTACCCTTGCTCCAAAATGTCCACTTCCATAGCCTTTGATTGCTCTAGGAAACAGTGATACATATGAGAGTATTTGCTTACTCTGAAGGTATTATTATTATCTTTTTCCCTGAGAGGGTGTGTAGAATAGTGCCCAAAAAAGCACTGATCTTTAAATATTAGCAAGTTTGGTTTTCTTCCCTGTGATTTTAGGCAGGTTGCTTACATCCTTGAAGCTGTACCTGCCTTGCATGTGGTAACTGGTGGTGGTGGTTGTATGGTATCTGGGGCTGTGTTAAATCCAATGTTTATAAAACATTTTTGTACATTATCATATGTATATATATATATTTAGAGCACAGCCATTTTATATGTGAGTGGGAAGTGGAAGGCTAATTTGGGCCCAAATTCCTTAAAGAAAATTAGGTAAAACCAAATGTGTTTCACTGTGTATTTTCAAACTTCAGCTTGACTGCTCATCACTGACCACATTTGAAATGGCTGGGCTTGGTGAATCGGGTGTAATCTGTCATGTTGCCGAGAACAGAAGCAGCTCTGGGTCTGGAGAAGTCCTCTTCCCTTTGTGCACCGACTCTGCGGCATCTGTGCCCCTCCCCCCTTGCCCCCTAGGTGCCAACCCCAGGCGCCTGCGGGCACAGGCAGACCCATCTGCTCAGGGACACACAGCTTGATGGACTGTGTGAGGCTGAGGCTGGACTTCCTGCCTCTCCTAAATATTTAATAGTCTGCCTCGCTGACATCTATGTTCAGGATTAGAAGTGCATTTGTCAGAAATACAAACACAGCGGTTAAGTAAACATAAAATTTGAACATGTGCAATCAATTCTAATAATAAGAAATTCTAGCAAAGTTTCTTTTACAATTTAGTTTTTAAAAAAGCTTTAGCTTAAGGAATACCTTATGGAGGAAGGCATAGATGAGGGGAGAGGGGTGGGGACCCTTGTCTTGTCTTCTGAATGCCAGGAACAGGGCTTTGGGGTACTACAGACATAAGCATGTATATGTACTAATAATAAATAATATAGCTTGTGTGTTATAAATGCATTATATCTTTTTTAAAAAATTATTTTTATTTTTATTTTTTACTTTTTGTGTACTTTCTAAATATCTTTATTCTATTTAATTTCCTTTCCCCGACTTCTAAATTTGTGACTTTATTTACTCAGTTGAAAATAAAAATAGCAAGACTACTGGGGTTACTTTATGTCCATTACACAGTATCAGTGACTTTTACTAAAGAGCATGTTTGACTTCTTTGTGTGAGAAAGTTTTTGTTGAAAAAAAATTAGCAAGTGTGACCACCAATTGGTGTACCAGGTAACAAATCTTTTAAAAAATAAAGCATATTAGATTTTGTTGCTCAACAGCTTAGAAGCATGCAGTTTTGGAAACAGTGCAGATTGGATTCATACCTTCTGAAATAGAAATACTTCTAGCAAAAATATAATGTAGTTGTCACCCAAGAGGCTTATGTCCTCTTGCACAATATGAGTCTATATTTGCTCATGTATATGATTTTTTTGGTAGACTTAGTTCTTCTGTGTGTGATAAATGCACGATATGACAAATGTCTTCTGAAATATGTAAGAAAGTATTTTTAGATTTAGATAAGTTTATGGCCAGGCACAGCGGCTTTCACCTGTAATCCTAGAACTCTGACAGTCCAAGGTGGGAGAATTGCTTGAGCTCAGGAGTTTGAGACCAGCCTGAGCAAGAGTGAGATCCCCATCTCTACGTAAAATAGAAAAATTAGCAGGGTGACATGGTGTGCACCTGTGGTCCCAGCTACTTGGAGGCTGAGACAGAAGTTTGAGGCTGCTACGAGCTAGGCTGATGCCACTGCACTCTACCCAGGGCGACAGAGTGAGACTGTCTCAAAAACAAAACAAACAAATGAAAAAATATTAGGAATGAAAGAAATATTATTCCTAATCCTTTTTTATAGACTTACTCATTATTTTTTTTCCTTAAGGTAAGAGATAGACATAAGAAAATTCTAACTAATCATTTAAAGATAGATTGTGTCTAGTCCCTCTTCCCAAGGTTTGCCACTGGTAGTAATTTCTTGTGTATTCTTCCAGAAATAAAGAAAACATATATCAACTGATACTTTTTCACAAAAGGGAATACAGATTGGTGATCTTTCCCACATCAGCACATGCAGATCTCTCTCTGTTTCAATATTTGTGTATCATATATATGTCCTGTGGTTGTGACTGACTTAAACAGTACAACTGCTGTTCAGAATTCAGGCTATTTCCAGCTTTTTGCAGATAGGTTTTTAAAAATTTTTTTGTAATAAAGTGATAGGTGGATGGCTTTTAGAACCACGTTGTTTGTCAATATCTCTCTTCATTACGAAAAAATTAAATATATAGCAGAAAATTTGAAAAATAGGAAAAATATTTTAAAAATTGTACATAACCTCACTAACCAGAGATAGAACCAGCAACATTATGGTGTATTGGCCTTTTTCTGTGTTAGTGTATGTACACTTACACACATGTGCATATATGTATGGTTGAGGTCCTGCTGCCATAGTTCTGAGCCCTGATTTTCTTATGTTTCTTGTGCCTTTAGAAATTTTGGGTGAGTGCTGTTGTGAATAGTTGTATAATATTATACTACTACTCTGACTAATTTATAATTTCAGTGAAAATTAATTTCTATTTTTTTATTTTAGCTGGACCTCCATATACTTTGTATTTTGGTATTAAATTCTATGCTGAGGATCCATGTAAACTTAAAGAAGAAATAACCAGGTATGATACTGACTGTTTTTTTTTTTGAACAGATACATGCATGGAATACACACAAAAAAAGGCTTTATTTAAAGCAAAGTAAAATTGGGGTAAAACATTTGGATGTATGTCTACCTGTGTTTTGTAATGAATCTCCTGTGAGGGTTAAATTCAAACCAGCACTGCACAAGGCAGATCAGTGTCTGATGATAGATGTGTTTGAAAAAGGGCATGAACCTGGGTGACATGATGATAGATTTTGCATCTGCTGTGGTGAGGTATTTCTGTATCTTCATTGTTAAGCAGGCTTTGTATTCATGTAAGAGTAGTCATTTGAACTGCCTAAAGGAAGGATATTTTGATGCTCAGTTTGTATATGTTAATATATATTTGAAGAGTCAGTTATTATTTCTCTCTAATTGGTTGTAGCTTAAATATCTGCTGTCCAGGTATTTCATTTATCTATATAGTAATGAAAAGGTAATTGTTTTGAGTATTAAGGAGAGAAAAGACCAATATTTTAATGTATTACTTTACCTTTGTCATCAAATATTTGATTTCATTTAAGGTGGGATTTCCAGTTGGTACTGATTTAGATTGTCAAAATAGTCCTTGTCAACATATGAAAGTGGCTTATAAAGAGCAGACAGTAGTGTTATGTTTTAACTTACTCCACCAGTGACCTGTCTGCATGTAGTTGCAAAAACAAAATCATTCTCTCTCGCTTAATTCCAAGTGGTCAGTTTTCTCTGTGAACTATTATTATGGGCTCAATAAAGCCTAATATATTATTAAAAAAAATAATTGAACATTGTGTCTTTGATAACTAAGGCAGTATGTGGTTTTGTTTCTATTCCATCTTTTTATATCTCTCAGACTTTCTGTTGTCCCTATTCTAGAATACACATGGAAGAGTGGGAAAAGGGTAGAATAATTGGACCTTTTTCGTCCCACTCTGAAGTGCCATCTTCAGGCCTCACTTTCAGAATCATGCAGGTGTCTTCCATTGTCACATTGTTAGCACTTTGACAAAGGGGTGTGCCAGTTCAGGCTTTCCCAGAGTGCACCCCTTCGGGAGATTGGCCACTGGAGTGAGGAGGAGATGTTGAGGAGAGGGGTGGTATTTACATTAGAGTTTCAAGGGGAAATTGAATCCAAGTGGCCTAAAAATACATTTATGTCCATAACTTATTAGGGAATTGCATGGGAACAACATTTTATTAAAGTGCAATGTCTTTCATTTTGAGGTAGTAATTTCTCTGTGCCTCAATTTTTTCAATCGTAAAATTGGAGTTGTACCTGTCTCATAGGTTTTTGTAAGTATTAAATGGAATAATATCTATAAAGCTCCTATACTTGTGTTTGACTCATAGTAATTGATAAGTGCTAATAGTTATGATTTCAATCTTTCCTACTTCTGGCAGTGTAGTACCTCTTAAATGGGGGTTAGGTTTCAAATATACTTGAATTAGTGTTAAGCGGGGGAAAGATGAGTGTTTTATAATGTATTACTTCACCTTTGTTCACCACATATTAACAGTGGATAGAAATTTCCCTTCAGAATCTACTGATGACTCATTAACAGTATACATGGATTTATGTATAATATTCAACCACACAATATTTTCAATACAACCAGTTTTCCTGAAGAATTATACCAGCTCATGCAGTTAACAACAAGATGACATATAGTTGGCTTACAATTAGTGTCCATGATCTATAATGATTTATTTTATTTTTTGCCTAAAACATATAGTTGAATTTAGGTAAATTAAATGTGCATTTAATGTGATATCACTATATTCTTCTTATTAGTGTGTGCTAAAGATACAGTCATTGATTTGCATGAATATGTTAACTTTTATGGACCTGAAAAAGCGAATCAATTACATTAGGTAATTGTAAGCAAAAGCAAAAACTAAAACTAAATACATAGATGGGACAATATCTCCGCCTCAGATGACGGTCAAGGATGAATGCAGACCATGGTGAGTGGCACATCTAGTTAGTCGCTAGATGCTCCGCAGCCCTTGACTGACTCGGGAGGTATGAATGTCTCACCAGGGCAAGCATCTCAAGATTCCACTGAGGCAATCCAATGACGACTCGGACACAAAAGATGGACTACACTCTAACTCCACTACCTTCCTGCCAGTATGGAGTTACTGACCTGGCAGCTTTTCATTGAGCACATTCATGAAATGACAAGGAGACGTGAGAGACACCATGGGTGCCCATGGCACACTCCTTATGGAGACTCACCAATTAATATGAGATGTCGTAGGACAGTAGGATGGTAGTTTCCACCTGCACTATCCGGAGATACACTCCTCTGCGAGTCTTTAACTGGAAGGACTAATGGGCTGCACCGTGGGAGTCTCACATCTTATATTTTCCTGTGCCGGCAGCTGGCATCTGGCTTCTCACACATTATGGAAGTCTCATGACCGAAGAACTGGAAAACCAAGACGACGCAGTACTATCTCACCTCTTTCCTTCAATGATTTATACAAGGTGAGGTTCAAGAGCCGCATCTCCACCACAAGGTTGATTCAAACGGAACATGCCCACCTACGATCAGTTGCTCACATAGGTATGCGAACACTAAATGGCGTAAATGGGTTCAGTTAAATTGGGTAGAGGCGAGGGGATACGGTATATATTAAGAACTATCAGGCTAAGGGCATCAGGTTATTGAAGATGATGACGATCTCTGCACCCTAATATCATGAGTGTATAGGATCATGCGAGAACCTGACACTGTGGGGCGGAGCAGAGGGGAAGATACTTGGGCGCATTATATCTCGAGCTAAATCCTATAGACATTCGACGTACATGAATAACCTCTTATAATTATAGCTTGCAATTTCGAGAGAGAAATTAAAAAATAAAACAATTAAGAGTGACATATACAGAGGAAGAGAATGAGATGTCAGGAAATGTCTATCACATTGTCGAAGTAATATTGGTGGCTATTTACTGTACATAGTACCCTAAGACCAGCAACGAGGTCGACCTACCTATGAGGACCTAACACCCAGCCAGTACAGCACGGACACGAAGCTGTCCAAAGTATCTAGAATCAACGAGTAAGTGAGAGAGCATTTCATGATTGGAAGAAGATGCTGATCCTTTTTTTCCTAACACAACTATTACTAGCACTCAATCCCTTGTACATGGTACTAGCACTATATTGACGGACTAGGAGGGAAATTTTCTATTTAGATTTTTTATGTTGTTATTTGTAGTAGTGTGTTTTTTGGGAGAACGAGTCCTCCTATATGGTGCGCGACCAGGAGATTGGAGGCGTTGGTCTGGCAGCAGGAGCAACAGCAGCAACTCCAAAGCGTGCCTGGGTCTCATTGAGTCACTGAGTTTCTCCACTCAACTGTCTCGCCTATAGAACTCTCTCACATAATGCCTTTATATAATACGTGATCAACTGGGAGGACCCCCAGCAAGTATTGCTTCTCTTCTTGCTCTCTCTCCATGCTCACGCCACCATTTTCTCTAATACCTCTCTTTGAGCGCAGGAAACGTTTACGTATGTTGTGTGCTGTAATATGATAAATGAATAGTTTTGGTTTTTTTTTATTGCGGCATATATGGGGGAGACAGGATTAAGATTCAATAAAGCCCTTCCCCCACAAGTCTGAGTTATCAGCTGACATCCCAGATGGTGCACATCTCATCATCACTAGTTATATGCCGCCTCCCCTCCCCCTGCCAATACCCTATTACGTAGTTACCCTATGTGCACTTAGGTGCTACTCGTTAATCCATTTGGCATGGAGAATATATCTGTGGGCTTGTTTTTCCATTCTTGGTACTTCACTTAGTAGTATGGGTTCCAGTCTAACAGGAAAATATAAGATGTGTATATCACCATGTTTCTAGAGCTGAATATATCCATGGTGTACATTACCACATTTTATTGTCCATTCTGGATGATGGGCACTGGGCTGTTTCCACAGCTTGCAATTATAATTGTGCGCTATAAAACATTCGAGTTGCAGGTGTCCTTTTTTGTAGAGTGTCATGGATCATTTGGGTAGATCCAGCAAATGGGATTGCTGGATCAAGTTGTAGATTCCTTGTATCACTAAAGTATCTCATATGCTTTCCACAAGAGGTTGAATAGTTTGCAGTCCACCAGCATGTAGGAGTTCCTCTCCTCCGCATCCAAGCCAGCATTTGTTATTAGGAACTTTTGATAAAGCTATTTATAGGGGGTTAAGTGATAATCTCTTGTAGGTGATTGCATTTCCTGATGATAGAGATGATAAGCATATTTTTCATATGTTTTGGCATTCTTCGTCTTCTTAAAAGTTTCTGTTCAAGTTTATTCTAATAGGTATTTGACTTTTTTCTTGCTGATTCGTGAGTTCTAGTATTAGTCTATTAGCCTATCGGATATGTAGGATAGCAAAAATTTCTCCCATTCATGTAGGTAGTCTGTTTACTTTCATGATATTTTGGCTGTGCAGAAGCTATTGTATTTATCATGTTCCATTTATTTATTTTTGATGCCTATTGCTTGGGACTTACTTCGAAAACTCCTTTGCAGCTAGCGAATGAAGTGTTTTAATAATATTTAATGTTGTACTTTTGCAAATATTCTGAGTTAAAGGGCCAATGTGAAAGCACTAATTGAATATAATTACCTTTCTTTCTCACAAGTAATGCTGGGTCTGCAAAACCTCGCTGAAACAAAAGAACTGATCAACATATATATTTCATTTTTACTTTAAAGGGTCAGCTGGAATAATGATTACAAAGTCCATTGGATTAGTGGGGCAGAAATGGGCTGGTGGTCTGGAGAGGTGAGTACTAGTATCAGTATAAGTTGGGGATGGGTGTGTGTGATTGCAGGTCTCTCCAAACTTTGATTAAATTTTCAGTTTAGAGCATTTGGAGATTTAGTATTGATTGTCTTAGGGGTCTCTTTCCTTGGTTTTGTCTATGATTTCTGTGTGCTATCTTTAATATTGACCTTAAAGTAGATAAGATAGAGAGGCATT